CAGGATGTCAGAGTCAGCCCCAAACACAGCCAATTACAAACAAACACAGATGCCCCAAATTCCACTTTCACTTGAAACAGTTGGCTGACCCTCCATTCCCCTCTGTTCAGGTAACCTCTGCCCACTCTCACCCTCAGGCCAAGCTTAATCCAATAGAGGTTTAAAGGAGGTTGAACAGGAAGACACTGTGGGTTAACTAACCAGCCTCCTTTTCATCCCCCACCAGCCTGCATATGTTCAAGGGGGTGGCATGAGTACAGAGTGCATCTTGACTCCATCATTAGGTGTGTTAGGGCCAGACAGTTCTAGGGACTACCCCACTGGGAGCTCCCCCAAGAACTACAAAGCTTCACCGGCTTTTTTTCGGTTTGCATTCACACCGCTGGTATGAACACCGAGGTAACGTAACACTAAAAGCCGGCTGACTGTTAGCCATTAGCCAACAAGCTCACAACGGTTACCACATAGCGACACTACATTACTGGTAAGTGTTTTCTTCATATGTTGCTAATGTTAATTTAAGCCTTCAACTGAAGTCTTATTAGAGGTTGTATTGTCCCATAAACATATGTCATAAAGAAGAAAAAAGATGAAAGTCTAGAACGCTTCTCTCTCGAAAACAGTTTTGTCTGTTTCATGTCTTCGTCATCTGCAACTGACATGAGCAATAACAATAGCATTTACAGCATTTGCTGCAATTTAACCCTTTTGTGATGGGTAATCTTCCTTAACACAGAATGACTTTTCACCTGCTGTTAATATTGACACTGCCAAGCTGCATGCAGATGGATCACATGGTTCCTGTGCATCTCGGACTCCCAGGTAGTTACTGACCCAACAGACATGGTTGCCTCCAAGAGACAAACAGAACTGTATTCATCCTCCTAATTGTCAGGAATGTCCTGATTGAGACAAGAAAGAAGCTCATTCACAAGGCACTTAATCAGAGTCTTGCTCCCTGCACTTAATTTCGAAGGACACTTGTTGAACAACTGCCTTGTCCTTTTTCAAATGGCTGCAGAGGCTCGATGTCCTACTCACCTCTGCAGAACCACCACAGGACAAAGTTGGTTCACAGCCTGGCCCATGTCACCATCTCTGTAATGCCACACTTGTTCACTGCCATTTTAAACAACCTTTTTTTGAGTTTTGAAATATAATTACATAAAAACATTTATTAATCTACAAAAATACACACACACACACACACACACACATACACATCTGAAATCTGAAATCTACAATAGGACAAATAGTTTTGTTTTAGACCCTTACATGTGCCACCCCATTTAACAAAGCAGGCACTGACAATCATTTTGTGAATGTTAAACACTTTGTACTATTAATAACATAGATATTATTTTAGAAAAGACTACAAAATAACATTTTTTGAGCAATATATTATACAGTATATTACAATTGACTGTCATAGATTTTATATTTGTGTCTCGATGTTGATTACAGCCTCATTTTCCTGATACAAATGCATGTGATGCTGACTTAACTGTGATTTGTGAGTTCGGATGTGATCTGAGTCAGCTGCAGAAGTCACCATTGCACCCAGGAGTTTGTAACAATTATAGTAACAAAACTTTACAACATATAACTTGGTAATAAGGTCTCTGACTCCACAGGCCTCTGCTTTTACAGGTGTGCAGCAGGGTATTACTGTAAATCTATGGGCCTTCTTGGCACAAGCCCAGAGGGTGTAGTCTATCTTTAACAAAATGCCATTTGGCAAGTGGGTTGACCGAGCATTAAAGGCACATGTTGGATAATACACTTGTCTACACACACATTTGCCAAGATTGTTTCCATCAGTCAGCTCCTGAAATGGTAGCAAGACCTTCTGACATTACTGCGATCATGGATTTAAAATGATTTTTCTTTAAAAAAATTTCTTTTATATTTTATAACCAGTCTTGACTTTCTAATCCCACTGAGGGCCTGTGTCCCTTTGATTTTGTAATGAGCCATATTTTACAGACTTCAGCTCCTCTGGTTTACTCTGAGAATTAGCAGACTTGAGCTAATATATAGAACTATTTCACTGCATCACAGTAAAGCTACGGAGCAGGCCACTTTAATTTTCGTTATTATAATTCCAGCCATTTCCTGCCATATTTGCGTGAGTTGACACAGATTGACAGTAAACAGCAATGTGGGGCTATAATGGGTCCACACGCAGGGGTAATATTTCAAGCAGGGATAACTTGTGTCACAATTCAGAGTAATTTCACAATCTTGTCAGTGATGTTTTTTGAATGTGATGCTTTTTTTGTTTTAGTTTTTGAAAGCAGTTAAGTCGATGTGCTTGGTGCAGTAGCTTCATACCGAGTGTTTGCCCATCACAGTGGTAAAGCGTTCCAAAACTGATATAGCAAAGGGATATCTGGAAACTCAGCTCACAGACAATGTGGGATGTTTTTATGTGGTCAATCCCAGTCTAAAGATAGTGACTCACATGGCAAGCCTGGGCACTGAACCTGTTAAGTGTGTGATTCCCGAAATTGGCCGCGTGATTTAGCCTGAAAGGTAGCAGCAATGATGCAGGGTCACGGACAAAGGCTCCACTCACCAGTGCTCTTTTGCTTTATGGCCCAAGCTCACGCACATTGCCCTTCGATTGCTTATTGAATTACATTTATTCACTCAATTAAAGTCACATGGAAAACCACCATACGTTGTCACAACCAAGCCAGTAGACTCTGGATAACGGGCACTGTGTTGTTGTTCATGGGAAGGTTCAAAACAAGATGTCTGAAATGTCAGCACTGTGACAGGCATCTCAGTTGCTGGCTTCAGTTGTTTCTTTTGGACAATAGCTTGGGAAAACACCGTCATGAACAAACACAGGCATGTCTGTGTAACTTCTTCCCATTCCTACAAAAAACAGTTCAGATAGTATAAACCAACATGGTTAGATTGTTACAAATTGCTTTCATATATGCACCATTTGTCAGAAATATATCTTATAATACTCAAATATACTTATAGAATGAAAATAGATTTTCTTCCATTATGCTATATTCAGATTTCCCTTACTTTGGCATTACTGTGTGCAGATGTTACAAAGAATAATATGAAGAAGTGCAGCACTGATCAAGTGCACAGCAATAATAAGTAACTGAAGAATGTGTAAATATTTTGTGGTCTAATGAATCATGTTTCTGTTGCAACATGTTGATCAGAAGTATCTCAAGCTGCCATAAACACCATGAAACTGTGGATTCCCCCCAGTGTCGCTAGAACTGGTCGCTCCATATGAAATTAACCGTAATTTTGCAAAATATGCTCAGCATATTGTTGAATCCATTTTTCAAAGAGTTCTGAAACCAACAGATTGTCTGCCAAGATTTACTGTATAGCTTCAGTGTACTGAGCGCATATCTGCAAGACAGACATTCAGTTTGAATGTTTTGCTTAGATCAAGGTTCCATTTAACTTGAAAACTCAATTTTTAAAAAAAGCTGCATGTATCTGTGTTTATCATGAACAACAAGACCTCCTGTATCTGTCAAGGTTCTTGAATGTTACTGCAAGAAGGTAATAAATTACCTACACAGTAAAAAGTCCAGTGTTGATTTGACTCTCACAGAGTTGATTTTAACTCTATTTCAGAGTTTATATAGCTCCACACTTTCTAGAGTTAAATTAACATTTTTCTGGGAATTGTTGTGTAACAGGACCAAACCTCCACTGACGCTACGTAGCGAACGCAACCCAAGAGAGCGGATGTGTAGATTTTGGATGGCAAGTGAAAACACACCTCTAAAAGAGAAGAGATTAGTTACCAGAGGTTAATTACAGGGTCATTTTTCTTAAGTAAACAAAACAGAGATCAAATCAGACAGAGAAGGTCTAAGAATCCTTTATTTTCAAAACTGGTTAAAAGATAAGGATGAATATACAATACAAAATCTTGGGTAAAATATACAAACCTTCATCTGCAACACTTTTCAACTTTAACCCAACTTGTTGAGAAAACATCATTTGACAAGTTCACGTCAAGCATTTCAATGTTGACAACGTTCTCAGCTGTCAGGGAAAATGACTTAATTGGCCCATACTCAATATTACTGAGGGTGAAGGTTTCCCAGTGATGGGCAATGGCCATCTGATGCTTTTTTGCAAATGATTTAGTTATGTTTTTAAAGTTTTTCAAAGAATCTTTAAACCACTTGTGCTTGGCTTCAAACCGCATACTCCACATATATAACAAGGGGCCAATTTTCCTTATAGAAGATGGGTAATGGATCATAAAATGATGTATAGGTAATAATGTTTTAAGTGGATTCAGACACAAATAATTTGTGGTGGTCAACAATCAAATGTTTCAAATAAATTGTCATGCCAAAAGTGAGAAAAGGTGAAAAAACTACGTTCATTATTTGAAGCAATAAAAGCAACAGACTCCAGTGTTTGTTTCCTGGAGGAACAATGTCGCCAAATAACAGTGGGATGTTTTTTACAAGACACAATGTCTGAATAGAATTCAAACCAATGCCATTACCAGCACTCTCTAAGATAACCTTTGTGGGTCGGTTTTTACGTTCTAAAAATCCATAATCAAAAGAATAAATTCTGGAAAGCAAATCCTGTTCAGATAAAAAGTTTTGTGTGAGATATTGAAATTTGCTCATTTACAGGATAAACACCACAACTACCTCAAAGGGTGTTTACTTATTTAACTTTGTCAACAAAATAACTAACTGCAAATAAAGTTTTTAAAGCAAAAATATAAAATAAAACTCACTTTTTGTCTCATCAAGATCACATCCAGGGGGACTTTCTGCTATTAGCACCAACTGACTCAACTCCGGTGTTAAAGTGAGCTGCTTGGCCTCGTTTATTACATTTGGCTTGAAGAACAGGTCCCATTTCTGAAGCAGCCTGGATGATGTCTCAGCATCAAATAGGAGAGTGAAATCTTGATCCACCTTTAAGAAAAAAGTTATCAGACTATAGACTATCTTTATTTTCAAGCCACTAAAAGCACGTCATTCCAAACTTACCAATCCTTTTGTGTCTAGGAATCTTGGGAAGATGGAGAGGATATCAGTACTTCTGTCTGCATCTTTAACAAGCCTCTGTCGATGCTGAAAGGTCTCCATCATCTTTTGTAAGATCATAGACCTGTCTGTGGTATGGTTAAGCAAAGAAATGGCCTCTTGGTAAGCGTCCCCATCAAGTTGCCCTTCTAAATTAGTAGCCCTCTGGCATTCTGGGCCTCCTTTGGAACTATAGAGGACTTTCTCAGAACTGTTTGGTGGCAAAGTAGAGCTTTGACGAGACTTCCTCTGGACTGTTTTTAGACGCCAGGCGATGTATCCTGTGTTACTTGTGGCATCGTAGAAGTGTTCCTGAAATTAAATTAGGATTTTTTTTTAGGCTTATTATCCTCCCAACATGATAATTTCTTACAAACAATTAAAGTGTCATAACATGCAAGTATGACATGAAAGTACCATGCAAATTATAACAGTAACACTTACATAGCCTTTTTTGGAATATGGATCCTTGAGGGAAGGAAACAGCGTTACTATCCCAAGAGCATACTGTTCTCGGATAGCTTTAGTAGGAAGGTTGCTGACAGGAGATATCAAATTAATAATCTCATATATACAATGGCCATATAGTCATTTACTGCCAAATTTAAAACAAACAGCAAGACAAATACCCATGTGTATCGATCATGTGAGCCACCAGTATGTTAACCATTTGTCTTCTTGTGGGATCTTTAAGGGTTTCCTTTGCTTGATACTGCTGTAGTACCTCTTCACCACCAGACTTAGACTTTAGCACACCCTCAACCAACTAACAGAAAATAAAAGCATAAGAGAACATTCATAAATTTCTGCAGACTGAACCAGAATGTTGTTTAAGAGGCACAGTATAAATAAGCTTTGTTTTGACCTGTTTTGCAAACATCGCATCAGACGTTGTGTCAAATCTTTGTCG